ATACAAACTAGAGCGACAAAACATACAAATGTATTTACAAACAATACGAAACATACAAACTATACAAACTAGACCGACAAACATTACAAAACTTACTAACAGTACAAAATGTCACTACTTACAATATAAAACAGTAAACTTCTATTACAAATCAATGAATACAAAGTATACAAATCACAACATAAAGTATACAAACTAGACAAACAAACATTACAAATTAGTCATATAAACAGTACAAACATAATAGATAAAAATGATAAGCGATACAAACCGAATTGATACAAAATCACAAAACAGACTTACAAACATTACAAAATAGTCCGACAAACATAACAAAACAGACGGGAGACACCGGGAAATCCCGGCCTGGGGAGAGATGCGCAGACCCTAGAGTTTTTTTAATTAATTAATAATTGAAAATAAATAAAGTCATGCAATTACTACATTTCCCTTCGTTAAATTGGATTAATCTGAGTCATTGGATTTTAATGAGGTGCAAGGGCTGAGATTCACTTAGTCATGTGATTAAGAGACCCCCCTTAGTCACCTGATCCTAGCCCGGGGAAAGAGGGGTACGGTTGTGCATTATGTGAATGTTGAGTTACTACAATGCGACTAATATTCAGAAAATTTTGATTCTGAATATATATTTTAAGATGAGATTTCAAATACTCAACTATTACGAATGTAATATTTATAGGTATTGCAAGTTTGGTTATTGGGATTACGAAATAGTTTCACTTTTGTAATAAAAAATATTTAATTTTCATTTTGATCACTGAAATTAGTTCAACAATTCAAGTTTGGTCTTCGTTAATGACGTCAGTTTTTTTGTGACGTGGCTAACAGAAGTGCGTAATCAGCCAATGTTAACCCAACTCGCCATATCATTAAAACCCAACGCATAAGATACCTCAACCCAACTTCTACTACCACAGACTAGCTAATTAGGCACTTCTGATACCTATTTGAGCAATACGAACTTGAACCGTTGAACTAATTTCAGTAACTACAAATGAAATAAAATATTTGTAGTGACGAACGCGAAATAATTTAGTAATTGTAGTGACCAAACTTGCAATTTATCGAATTTTAATATCTAAGTACCATTGCAAATTAACAAATTAAGATATACCTCTCTGTTATTTTTCTGCACAAGTGTATCCCTATATTATTAAATGTAACATCGTATCGTTCCATCTAATATTTCATGTGGACCTTTAAAGGGGGCTTAAATTGACCAAATTGTTCCTCACTTATTTAATACAAAAAATTTCTTCATTTTAGAAATGGGTTAATTGCATGGTTGGTCACTGAGATTACAAAAAACGTTCAAGTTTGGTCACTAGAAATATTTAAATCCATTCCTAGTCACTCAAATTAGTTAAATGGTTCAGGTTTGGTCACTCTCCGTTACCTTCCGTAAGTTTCTGTTAACACCGTCAAATATTTGCTGATGTGGCTAACCGGCTCATCTAGTCACATATTTTTGACAAAATAAAATAAAATCCAATCCTGTCAGGTCATAAAAAACCTGCCACATCATAAAAATCTAACCAATGTGACGCGACCCATTAATCCATGATCCGATCCAACCCAAGATTGACCAATCTGCAAAATCCCTCGGCAGTCGATGGAGAAGAGGACCGGAAGAAGCTATTGTCGCCGCCCTCGTCCAATTTGTCAGTTTCCATCTCCTGTTCTTCTTCCTTCAACATAAAGATCACCACCGAGAGTAGCAGCATCTCCACCACGGGCTGCCGCTGATCTACCTTGATTCATCCTCTGTCTTCAGACTCTCCTACGTCAATGCAGCTAACGAATCTGGTCAGCTACCAATTCTTCCCTCATCGTCGATCCCACTCCCCTCTATAATCTGACTGAGCAACGACAGAGCTATCTTCAGACGAAGCATCCAAACCTCACTAAACAAGAAAAATTCTGCTTCCCACCATCAATTACATGGAAAAAACAACTTTCATCCATTTCTCCATAAACCAAACAAAGCATCCAAACCAAAAATGGATTAAAACCCATGAAATTGAAAAAACGGAAACTGAGTTGAATTCATAGGAAGCGGTACGGTGCCTCCAACCCTTACTTCGTCAATGGTGTCGCCGCCTCAATCCTCTCCATCTTCCCCGTCCTTGGGCCGCCTAGCAACAGTGGAGTTGTCGTTGGAAACCGGACTAGGCCCGCCCTTGTCCAACACTGTCCAGATATGCTGGGCATGGCGGAGGTGAGGGCAAGCTCGGAGAGGGATTCGGACTTGGAGGAGGCTGATGTTGGACTGGACGGAGTCGGGGAATGGTTGGTGACCTCGTGGTAGGCGGCAATGAGGGCGAGCTCATACAGGGATTTGGGTTTGGAGGAGGAGCTGGAGGCGACGATGATGTTGGACTTGGAGGAGGAGCTAGCGGCGGTGAGGGCGAGCTCAGATAGGGATTTGGGCGTGAGATTCTTCTTGAATGGAAAATATGGACATAGTGAGTCCGCACGGCGGCAATTTATGATTGAGCTTTTAGGGTTTGTATTTTGGTTGGGTCAAATAAAGGAAGGGTTGGGTCACGGGTTGGGGTGGGTATCTAATGTAGTGGGTTTTTCTGATTATACCGGTCGGGTTTTATTTTTTTACAATTTAAATTGGGTGAATCAGCACTTCTGTTAGCCACGTTAGTAAATAACTTATGGTGTTAACAAAAACTAACGGAAGGTAACGGAGAGTGACCAAACTTGAACCATTTAACTAATTTGAGTAACCAAGATTGCATTTAAATATTTCCGATGACCAAAATTGAACCTTTTTTTATAATCTCAGTGACCAACCATGCAATCAACCCTTTTAGAAATAGAAACATAAAATATTTTTAATTTTTTTATGCAAAATCAAAAATATCTCATTAAGCACCGGCTATCATAAGAAAAAACCTGATGTGCCTCTCAAACCAGTACAAACATATAGTATGTGACTCACACGAAACTACACCATAATTAAACCCCAATTAGAGCCCAAGTTTTTAAACTCTAATCGTGTGCAGTATAGGGCAAGTCTCGGTCCGGTCCGGTCCGTCTACCCCTACTTCGGTTGTTGAAATTATTATCTAGCGATAAAACTTTGGTTTAAAGGTTTGCCAATTGAAATGAAAGAAAGAAAAAATAATTTGGTTTGGAAACTCTTTTGTGGGAAAATCACTTGGGTTGCGCATCCCCCCTAACCACTACCATGCTACGTGGGTTGGAACGACTGCCTTGGGCACGTTAATCGTGAACCGCAGAGGAAAGCGTATGTGGTCGGAGACCACAGTCTTGATTGCTAAACCGAGGTGAGGATGAAAGGTCGTGTCACTCGACCCTCTCAGTTTAGACAATCGGTAATCGGCTTACTTCCTCACTCAACTCTAAGGTCAGACGGTTTAACCTCGATTAATCGACTTGTTCAATTCAATATTGAGGATTGCCCTAACTCAACCTAGTTTAGGTGGCTTGGAAAGCGTAAGGAAAACCAACTCGATTGAGTCTCCCTTAAAAAATGGGATTTTCCTCTCTAAACTAAGCTAAGTTGGCAAATTAGATTACTAGCACCTAAATGCACAAACTTAGGGGTGCTAAGCACAATTATGCACAATCCCTAGGATGCTAAGCACAAAATATGCACAACCCCTAAGTTGCTAAGCACAAGCATGCAAAATCATGGTGAAATATACCTCAAACATTAAATTGAACAATACCCAATATCAATCGTCCAAACCACATACAAGAAAACTACATGGTAGAGTTTAGGGTTTCACTAAACCCAAATGAAAGGAGGACTACTCCATGGAAGAAGTGGGAAGAACAAAGGGGGAAAAGGTGGGAACCATCTTTTGGGGATGCCTCCTCTCTTCTTGACCCTTGAGCTGGAATTTCCTTGGGGAAATCTTCCCAAAACCTCATTTGAAACCAAGCCCTAACTCTTCTTCTCTTTGGTTCTGTTTCTCTCACTAAAATGCAGAAGAAGGTGTTTCTCTCATAGAAGTGGCTCTCCCCTCTCTCCTCCTTGCAGCTCAGCTTTTAAACGCGAGAAGAGCTGAGTTCACGGCCTGAGTTCACGGCCATGAACCATCAAATGCATTCATGAACTCACGCCTTGCACCAAAATGCTCCGCATCGATCACGGCAGTTCACGGGCAACTGCTTGTGTTCACGGTCTTAGTGACCGTGAACTCGCCTTGCGTCAGTAACCTTCAACTTGGCTCTGGAAGCCTTGCGCTTCACGGTCAACTCCACTTCTTCACGGTCTTGCACGACCGTGAACTCCTGCCTTTAGCCGTGAACTTGCACCTTTTCACCTCTTCTCCCGGTTTTCGATCCTTTTCGCCAATCCTTTTACTCCGAGGCTGGTTCCACCTGTTAAATCCTGAAAAGCACTCAAACACGAAGAACCTCGCGTAAAACCAACCTTTAATGAGCGAATTTGGAACAAACTTCTAAGCAAACCGGGGGGAAAATATGTGGAATTGGGCCCGAATCAGTATGCTAACAGAAATATATAGAAAGAAGAAAACTCCAACTATAACCTATCAATATGTTCCAACTCTAACTTGATTTCGGTGAGTAGATTGACAACGGATAATCAACTGGCGTTGATTTTTCTCAATGGTTTTTGCATAATTCAAGACTTACGCTTCAAGAGATTGTTTAGGAAGGGTGAGCTCCGCGATGGACTCTATTACTTGCGCTTGTTTGGGAGTGGACGAATGCAAGCTTGTGCGGTTCGGCGAAGAGAATTGGCGTTGGAGATAAATTGGCACGCACGCTTGGGACATGAGATCGGAAGCAAATTGTGCAAAGACTTCTAATTCGGCGAACTGTGTCAATTCCAACTTTAATTTACTAGCTACCTGTCTATTTGACGGGCTGCCCCCTAAACCCGAGGTCATTATAGATGCTATAACAAAACTTCGTAAAATACTATCTCGCAAAATTTGTGAAGATCAAATTAAGCCTCAACAGGGGAATCGATGTTTTACTACCAATCACAAATTTCATATTGGCCGCACTACTCATACCGGAAGAAATATGATGGAGAGTTGGCTGAAATGAGCACTAAATACTTTTCGAGCAATCTCCTCCAATTCACTGGTATGGCTATCGAAATTGTGAGCATCAACATGTAGGTTCCAGATCCAAGTAGTAGTATCAGGTCCTTTAGCTATTGTTCTTGAGAAATGACCAGGTCTGGCCAATTCCTTAAAGTAATGACGAAGAACACATTAAAATATGCCGATTCGGTCCGGGCATACTATATGTAAATTTTACACCATTAATGATTTAACGACAATGATAAAAAAGAAGAATAAGGCCATTCTATTTCGACAAAAGACCCACACCCAAGTTCCATAGCTTTGGGTCCGCTATCCCGATCACGATTTTCCTACCTCCAGAGGGAAAACAACAAATCCCTATAAAGCCCAAACCTCCCTTTCTTCTACCAGTTGACACCCTTGCTTGGCCCTTCCTCTATGAGGTTGTTGTGTAACAAGTTCATAATGCTCGCTGGAACGTCCATGTATTTTATCATCAACTTGATGAATTAACTTTAACAAGCTACACCAAGTAAAAAGTGTAGAACAATTAGCTCAGAAGGACCACCATTATATAACCATTCATCAACAGATGTTGCTTCCCATATTGGATAAAAGTGCAAACCTATTCGGACAAGCAGTCTTATATTAGTCGATTATTATCAGTTAATTTTTGGCCAAGTATTGGTCCTTGTCATTCCTGTTTAAGGGCGAAATAGTCGTGTGTTCCCTTTTCATCTAGTAATATTAAGACTACTAGAAGTTTCGAACTTATTCATGTTGATCTTTGAGAAGGATATAAGGTGGCATCGTTGAGTGGTGCACACTATTTTTTGACAACCGTGGATGATTTCACTCGTGGAGTTTGGGTTTATTTTTTGTGTTATAAGTCAGATGTTGCCGAGTATTTACTTCGGTTTGTCGGATGGTGCAGACTCAATTTGGGGTCACTGTCCAGCGAATTCAAGGTGACAATGGTCATGAATTCAATACAGAAGTTATGCGTGAGTACTATGCGCAAGAAGTTATTTTACTTCAGACATCTTGCACCGATAAGCCGCAACAAAATGGAATAGTCGAGAGGAAACACCGACATATCCTCGATACAACCAGAGCATTGCGCTTCCAAACCAGTCTACCTATTCGGTTTTGGGGCGAGTGTGTTTTAACGACTTTTTATCTCATCAACAGGCTGCCTACTACGATAACGAAAAAAGACGTCGTTCGAGCTCTTCTTCGGACGGGCAGCATCGCATCACCACCTACGAGTGTTTGGATTCTCGGTTTACTACAAAAATACTCACGCCCATCTCGATAAGTTTGGGGAGCGTGGGCAGACATGTATTTTCTTAGGCTATGCGACAAGTCAACGAGGATATCTCATATATGATCTGAACACTAAGCGCGTTGTCACATCCCGCGATGTTGAATTCCACGAACAGACATTTCCTTTTCAGGCTGGTATTCGACAGTTTCTGCACTGGGTGCCACGGCCAGCATTACAAGCCTCTGGAGAATTTCTGGCGGGGAAGGAGAACACCTCAATGAAACCCATCTCTCTTGTTTCTCTCGAGTCTCGACAATGGTGTGCAGGCCGAGTTGACTATTCACATTAGTTTCTTTACTAGATACAACGATTCATCCATAGTAATGTGTTCAATGCATCCAGAATCAATCAACCATTCAGAGTCATAAGAAATAATACCTACCATGTGAGCCGCAAGATCATGATCCTCCATCGTTTTACCAGGAAAACCAAAGAACTGCTTGAGTTGGTTCAATTGTCCGATCGTGAAACCCGCGACTGGACTCTGATCTGAGTCTACAAGAGATGCCTTAGGCTTGCGACTGGAGCCATCCCTCAGATCATCGCCCGAGTTGCGGGGTCGGCGCCTTGGTTTCTCTCCTCCTTGTCGCTCATTACTTTGCTGATCACGCGGAGGGTATCCTATCAGCTCCCATCATTTCTCTTTGAGGTGCCTGAGCTTATTGCAGTGAGTACAACGAGGCCGGTCACGTTGCTCCCTTGTTCCGCGAGCAGCCCGATCCAATTTGCTTTGAGCAACAAAGGCAGTAGCTTCCAGCTGAGACTAACGATTTTGGGAGATCAGTTTCTGATGTTCCGCATTGAGGTCGATATTGAAAGCTTCCGCCAAGCGCTTCATTGGTTTCATAGCCAAGACTTGAGTGCTGATAGCACCGAAAACAGCTTCATCAAGCCCCACGAGGAAGTCGAAGACGCGCACGCTTTCTTGTTGTGCGCGCACTCGTTGGGAGACATCGCACGTGTAGTTGGGTAGGGGCATGATCGCGAAAACCTCCTCCCATAAGGACTTCAAACAAGTGTAGAAAGTAGAGACATACTTCTTTTCTTGTTGGAGAAGAGAGATGAGGCGGCGCAATTCATAGGCGCGGGAGGAGCTGCCATGGCCAAACCGCTCCTGGAGATTAGACCAGATCGCTCGAGCAGTATCAGTAAAATATAGCGATAAAGTAAAGACGACTTGGTTTAACATGATTCTTCCTCATACAACAATTATCTAGGGTTACATAAGTATTAGGAGAAGTCTCCTCGTTGGCATAGGAGCCGACGTGAGCTGTCCATGCAATGGGTGGATGCATGGCAGTCTCGGCTATGCCATCTGGGTCCAACGAGTCAACTCGCCCAACACTAACTGAAGGACAGGATCTCCAGAAACTCGATATAAAATATCTACTTTAACCAGCTTCACCAACTCCCACGGATTCTTGATTGATTGTATCTCATACATCAGAGTACATCGCTCACATGACTAACAGCTAAACTCCAAATCAACCTGCATAAATTCTGCGTTGGTTTCTTCATTCGCCACTGCTGCACACACCAAGACACTATACTTTCCCAGTCTCCTGAAGTAGGCGGGGAAAGGCATTTCAAGCACTGCTGCAACACACATCGTGTAAGAACAAGAGACAAGAAGGTGATCTCGATTCTCAACCCCGCCTGGACATAATATAAGCACATCCCCGACACTGGTTTACCCCAAGATAGTAGCTTGTCTTGGGTAACAAGTCTATCACGCATTGCTAACCAGAGAATAAACTCATGTCGAGGTATAATCTCTTTTGCCAACACAAGTTTCCACCAACTAACTTCCTGCGAATTTATTTAGTTTTCCTTATTTTATAAATTTTCTTTTTATACTCCTTTTAGTTATTTTTTTATGTTTTTTACTTATGATAAAAAAATAAAAAGTATTTAATAAATGATGAATAATATGGTCATCTTACACCCCTTATAACAGTTAGCTAACAAAATTTCGGATGGAAATGTATATTTGTTACATTATAATAGTAAATGAATACATTTGTGCAAAATAAAATAGTGGAGTGGTGTATTTATGAAGTTGTAATAGTACATGAATATAAAATACTATTAACTCAATATGTAATATTCACAAAATATGAGTCAAATTGATCAGCGAATAAAAATCATTACACTATCTTTGGGCCTTATTTCTTACGACCACCGTCTACCTCCACCAGCTCTGTAACTACTGTAAAACCTTTGTAGACAATTTGGTGTTAGAAAGAGAGGATTTCTCGGCCCACGAGGCGGCATGCAGCTGCCTGCCGACTTGCTAGGTAGGGTTTATGAGGGCATGAAGATGAAGTGAACGTGAAGCTGCCACTAGGAATGGCAATGGGGCAGGTCCGGGGCGGGTTTCTTGGTACCCAGACCCGCCCCGTGGCAGGTCGGGTCCAGGTCGGGTAATTGATCACGGGTCGCGGGTCGGGGCAGGTCGACCCAATGGGTATGCAATTTATATGAAAAACATTAGAAATATTCGTTATTTTTATTATAAGACTAAGAAAACAAACAATATTATGACAATTGTAGTTAAATTATTGGAGAAATTGAAGTTTTTACTAATTTACAACTTTATTATAGCTAAAATATGATGCAATAAAAGGAAAATTCTAAGTAATTTGACTAAGATTACATGTAAATTAGACAAGAACGGGTCGAGAATGGGGCGGGTCAGGGCAGGTCGGGTCGATGAGACTACCCATGCCCGCCCCGCCCCGCCTACGGGGCGGGTCGGACCCGCCCCAAAACAGGTCAAACAGGTCGGGTAAAACGGGTCAGGTCAAAATTGCCATCCCTAGCTGCCACGAAAACATACATGTGTGTGCTAACTAAACTATCACATGGTACGTACATAACATAATAATATATATACTGTTCCTGAGGCCGAGAGGCAGGCATGTTTTCCAGCAGTTTCACATGCATACAAGCTCTTTTCTTTGATGTGGTTATGTATGTGTTGCTACGATTTAATCGTAATTCAATTGTTCCATACAGTTAAAATCGTTTATTAATTTTGATTTAAATAGGTGGTTTTTTCTATTGTACTGTTGAATGTTGATACAATACACTTTAACAAACCGTTATTTAAATGTGATTGAGATACAATCTCAATTCCATTATTATGATTCAGATTTACGGTGCAATCTCAAATGCTTGGAGGTATCAAGTATTTGGAAACTCCCTCCACAGAAGTGGGCTGGCATAGTTTTTTTAAAAACTTTAATCACATGCGATACACCGATTAAAACTTGAGACTTATTCGGATAGGAAAAATCGAATTCCAAACAATAGGCATTTGTAACAGTATGATAATAACAAACCACGATTTTAATACCCTATACTCTAACATTGATTTTTCAATATAAATTTCGATGCACATTCACAATCCTTGCTGAGACAAATAATACCAATTTATAAATACACCGAACCAGAGAGCAGCCACGTAAATTGATCCTAATGAACGATTATCAAGGCAACGTGTTGCATTCCATCCACCAGAAGACCACTCAGATAATTAACAAGCAAATAAAATAATGGAATATCACTCACCCAACAATGACAATGCAACTCCCATAAAACTGGAAACCCTACCACCATTCCCCCTCAATAATTCCCCCTAACTCTTGCTAAAGGCCTAAAAGTATGTTTAGCAGTTGCTTAATTATTGAGGGGAGCTGTCGGACCGATTCTAATCCCACCTTACTAATATCTATCTAACTAAAGGTTAAGCTAATTGCTGCATCATCATGATGATGTGTTCCACAATGACTAGTCAAATTAATTGCTTAATCCAAGAGTACAGATTCTTCGTTTTATTGACACATACAAGATTGGAATTTTGAATGCAAGATTTTTTGGTCAATGAACGTTTTCCTTGTACGAGGAAAGAGTGATATATTTCAATAGTTTAAGACCTTGAAAGAGGTTTTTGAGTAGAACGTATACTATGAATCGACATACACTTCAAATAAAAGCATCTTCTTGTACTTTAATTTTGCGTCATTTTCATAGTATTTGCTATAGTAAATTGTTAATTATGTCGAGACTCTTCCAAAATTTGAGCGTTCGACTTTAAAATTAATATCATACGGAAAAAGTGATTTAATCAGTGATTATTAAATCGTGATGTGTCGACCACTGGATCGTAAAAATCACATATTGCCATCAATGTCGGTACGGTAGAATGGATATGAGGGGGGAAAGTATGCTAGCTGGCTCTGTGTAGTTAAAATAGCAATTCACGCAAGTACCCGCCAGGTTTTTGTTCTATTACACTAGTATCGTGCTAGTTGTATTTTAATAACGATATCTAACGGCTATGTTATTGGTTGAACCACGATTGTACTCCTACAATATCATTCTGTTAATTTACAGGGTATAATTTCTATTACAATTTTGCAAGTAAGAACAGAAAAAGTGAACAAGAGAATGAAAGAGGCCTTGTCGAAGACACGAAATAAATTAACCAGAAATTAATTACAACTCATTCCCCAGTGATCCACCTAAACCATTCAAACGGGGAATTAGAATTCAACAACATGAGTTGTAGTCGAAAAGGCAAAATTGGATTTCAACTCCAATTATGTCAGGCCAGCATCCTGGAGTTTAGCTTGTTTGCGACATCACCAAAATGGCAACCGAAGATAGGAATTTTCCGTCATAAAAAAAAAAATCAATGGTTTTAATCACAGTGATTAGATACTCCCTCATATAGAAGAGCAAATTGAATGTCATTTCAATCATTTTGTTCGTTGGTGCAAAAGAAATTATTTCAACTAGATCCAAGCCTAGTCATGATATAGCCTTGGAATTGATATAAGGCCATAGTTAGAGGGAGCGTCACTTTCCTTCGAGTACTCGTCTCCAACCAGCCACCTGCCACAAAAGAGCTTTGGCACAGTAGCACCACCAATCCCCCAATATTACCATGCCATACACAAGAAGATGATGCGTACAAATATACATCCAAAATGGCAATATCATCACATGGCCTTGTGGGAGAGCGGTGAAGACAAAACACTATCAAAATCCAACAAAAACCCATAAGAGCAACCCCCCAAAGAGCCATTCCTAGCCATTTAAAAACCTATTGGTGGGACTTATGAGATTAGATGTGGTGAAGAAAATCTACCATTTCCTCCCCCTACCCCCAATCCATTACACCATATAACAACACACTTTTTGGCAAGAGCAAAAACCCACTTCCTAACTTCCTGCGCCTCCTCCTCCAAACTTCATGCAACTTTCATTTCCTATCTAGCTTTGCTTCAAACTCCACCTAATCATCTCTACCGCGAGTACTAGTCTATTAGTACATCGTTGACGCGTAACTCGAAAAAGGAACAGATTCTCGAGCTGCGTGTTTGCTCAACATGGTACTTTCGAGTCCATATGCTTAGCACTTCAATCAACCCAATTAGATGCAGATGAACATGTCTAGTAGTGTTTGTGAAAGCAAATTTTTGGTTTCAGGTCCTGGTAGGCGAGCATGGGGAGGGAGATGGCGGTGGAGATGGAGCAGTGGATTTCAGAGGAAACCCTGTGGACAAGTCCAAAACTGGAGGCTGGCTTGCTTCTGCCCTTATTCTAGGTGCTCCTTCCTTCCTTCTTTCCTTCCTTCCTTCCTTCTCATAACTACACATTGGAGAGAGCAAATGAACAATCCATGAACGAAAGTTGTTTGCTTTTATCTGTTATTCTTCTTCAGGAACTGAGCTGTCTGAGAGGATATGTGTGATGGGGATATCGATGAACTTGGTGACTTACTTGGTCGGAGATTTGTACATCTCGTCCGCGAAATCGGCCACCATTGTCACCAACTTCATGGGAACTCTCAACCTCCTCGGCTTGCTCGGTGGCTTCTTGGCCGATGCCAAGCTCGGCCGCTACTTGACTGTTGCCATCTTTGCCTCCATCACAGCTTTGGTAAGCTTGTTTTACTACTTTTAACTACCCTTTGGAAAATTAACTTACAAAGCATCATTCAAAGTGATCTAAAGGAAAAGTTTCCCGGAAGAAAAATACACCAACCATATATAAGCCGTGACGTAATATCATACACCGAAATCTACAAGTATCGATGTATGTATAGGAGAAAATTCGATCACATCATACCCGAAAAGTCATATATTAAGCATCATTAGTCGTAAATCATAATGATTCTTCTTAATTATCTCATGTTTGGACGCTAAAACAAAGGTAATGAGTCAAATTCTTCTTATGCATACCTTATAAAAAAATGTTAATTGCCAACATTAACATAGTAACATACAAATAGAAGTAGAAGAGGACAAAAAAGTTGCCACTAGTAGCCAGTAAGCTAATCCCCTCCCCTGTTTTTTATCCTCTGTTTTTTCCAGGGTGTCACTCTGCTAACACTAGCAACATCAATCCCAACCATGAGGCCACCAGTATGCGAGGAAGCCCGCCGGCAGCACCACGAATGCATCGAGGCAAGCGGACGCCAGCTCGCGCTCCTCTACGCCGCACTCTACACGACAGCACTCGGCGGAGGAGGGATCAAGTCCAACGTCTCAGGTTTCGGTTCGGACCAGTTCGATGCAACGGACCCCAAGGAAGAAAAATCCATGATCTTCTTCTTCAACAGGTTCTACTTCTGCATCAGCATTGGCTCCCTCTTCGCGGTGATCGTCCTGGTTTACATTCAGGACAACGTCGGAAGAGGGTGGGGCTACGGCATCTCTGCCGCGACCATGGTGGTCGGAGTGATTGTGCTGGTATGTGGAACTAAATTGTACAGGTACAAGAAGCCTAAAGGAAGCCCTGTTACTGTAATTTCAAGAGTTGTGTTCTTGGCCTGGAAGAAGAGGAAGTTGGATTACCCTGCCCATCCCAGTTTGTTGAATGGGTACCATAGTGCCAGAGAAGTTCAGCATACGGAGAAGTTCAAGTGCCTAGACAAGGCAGCCATTGTCGACGAAAAGGCAGGGGAAGACAGGAACGATCCATGGACGGTATCCAAAATCGTGGAGGTGGAGGAGATCAAGATGGTTATCAAGCTTATACCCATTTGGTCGACCTGCATCATGTTCTGGACAGTCTACTCTCAAATGACGACGTTCACGGTCGAGCAGGCCACATTCATGAACCGAAAACTCGGGTCGATCAATGTCCCTGCGGGGTCCTTCTCCACATTCCTCTTCATCACAATCCTCCTCTTCACATCCCTCAACGAGAAGATCTTCGTGCCAATCGGACGAAAGCTTACCCACAACCCGCAGGGACTCACGAGCCTGCAGAGGATCGGGATAGGACTCTTGTTCTCAATCGCCGCCATGGTTGCAGCTGCCGTGATCGAGAAGGAAAGGAGGGAGAGAGGTGCTGGCGACAACGGGGTTATGATCAGCGCATTCTGGCTTGTGCCTCAGTACTTCTTGGTGGGAGCTGGAGAAGCTTTTGCTTATGTAGGGCAGCTCGAGTTCTTCATCAGGGAGGCACCTGAGAAGATGAAATCGATGAGCACGGGGCTGTTTCTGAGCACGATTTCGATGGGGTTCTTCGTCAGTAGTCTGTTGGTTTCGATTGTCGATAAGGTGACGAAGAAGGTCTGGTTGAGAAGCAACTTGAATGATGGGATGTTGAACAACTTCTACTGGTTGCTTGCGGTTCTGGGGGCGCTGAATTTCGTGGTGTTCCTTATTTTCTCGAGAAGGCATCAGTATAAAGTGAGGAACCAACAAGTGACTGGTGACGATTCTGAGATGAAGGAGACGAAGAAGGCAACGGAGAGTTTCAGTACTCTTGAAGTGGAGTAGAAAGGGGAGAGCTTGTAAGGAAATGGCAGGCATTTTAGTGTTAGCAATCTCAGGCAAAAGTTAGGCTTCGTTCATATGTGTATTTGTTGGTATTCAAGCAAACCTTGAACCAATGGTATTGCGATGTATTCCCACCTTAAACCAATTCTTTTCCCTCTCTGCCATTCTTCCTTTACCTGTGTGTTTTTTAGTGTACTATAAGAAGACACGGTATAAAGACATGTTCGATGTGTTTATTTAAACGATATACTATGGCGTTTATATACTTCTTGTCCTTGTTAGGGGCCAAGTAAATTCCACTAACAATGAATTCAGATCAAATTTTGACGACACTTGCAATGGATACAAATTAGGTTTTCAACCAAGGAAACCATCCAGTATCAGAATAACATCAACCCTTTCTTAAACTTCTAGGGTAATCTCCAAAAATAGTGATTAGTAGGGGTGGAACATGGAAACGATTAACAACTTAGAACAAACAATGCATGTTTCGGGAAAATTCAAAAAAAGCTACTAGGCAATTTGCATAGCTGGTACAACTTTGGAAGAGGAACCCAGCAACAATAGAGCTGACATCTAAAGGACATCGTAAGAACATGATGTAAAAGGGTCTATGAAGAAGTGCTACTTGCAGCGATTGGAGGGGAGTGCCCGACAACCACCGGAGGGCGAACAGCTTTGTGGTTAGCAAGATTCTGCTTTCGGGCATTGTACATCTCCTCGGTCTCAATCACAATCAGCCTCTTTACCTGGATCCAGAGAACCGAAACCATGACTAAACAGTACATTCGGAGATATAGAGTGCTAGAACAGTTTATGGTGAGATCATCACCTGGTTAAGCATTCCTCTAATGGAAGAACAATTGACTCGTGTTACAGTTCGGTTGCACTTCGTGAGATTTAATGCCTCCAGGGTGCGCCTATGGAGTCTCCTGGTCCCGGGAATCCCTCTCACCAGAGTTATGTATAGCCGCTGACTCCATTCGATTGGGACTTGGGCTTTGAAGGCCTTGAAACCATTCATTTCCTTTCCGTTTCCTTTCCTTTTCACTTTCTGAAAGCAAAGGGTGATAAATAATAATGTCACTTTCTATCATGAAGTATAACCAATTTATTCGAGGGGCTTAGATTGGTCATAGAAACTAACAGCCTGGTCCAATTTAGCGTAGCGTTGAATATCTACATTAATGATTAAAACAAGTTGAAATACAATCAAGCTTTTATCATGTCACCACCACAAGCCTATTGCAAATATCCCCCATCTTAACCAACTAGCTGCCTGAATGATTGGCAGCACACTCTTAAGCCCGAACGTTGCTGCAACTTGTTGCAAATAAATTCAGAGAGCGCGCGTAAAAACAAAAGTCCCAGAAAGGGGAAAGCAGAAGAAGTAGCCAATTCAAATATTTCAGCAAATCACATCAGATATGCAGCATCTCAATGAGCTGAATGGGTCATGGCAAAGCGCGAATCACTGACCGTCCATATGCAAAAATGAAAACAAAATCATCATTATAATGTTTCTTCAGCCAAGGAAAACCTTGCAAATTCCAAGGGCAAGGAACTGCATTTCCTATACCAAACAGAACTACACACATCAACACACCATCTAGCAAGAACTGCAGTCTCTAACATTGTTATCAAGATTAATAAACTACAGATGGTAGATAACCGAACATAAAGAGAACATCCTGAAAACAAAAATAAGTCTTGGGGCAACAGTTCATAGATATCAAACTCGAATCAAATCATCTTCCGGTCGAAAAGCAATAACAGCTATAGCATATTGAACACTGCACAAGTTTTTGTCATGTCTTAAAACTAATTAGGATGCTTATGCTGAACCAGTTCGGGAAGCAATTATTATATAGCAACTCCCTCTCCCATCCATCCCCCTATATGCATCAACCAACTAAAGACCCCAAAAAATCAGGCAAATCAACAGGAGTTTTGACGACAAAGCAATTCACTGCTAAGAATGATAGCATACACAATTCAAATCTCCTAGTTCACAAACAGAGCATAAACAACGAATGCTTGATTGGGTTTCTGAAAGAAAGAGGAAAAAGGTTTAAGGAAAAGTGTAGTGGAAACTAAAATCCTCTAGCTTCTAGGGTTCAGCGATGTAGAGTGTAGGGAAAAGAACTGACCTTTGTCAACAAAACGTGACGGAGGAGGTAGATTGATCAGTACCGCAATCGATTCAAGAACCAGAAGAAGAAGAAGAGAGAGTGCGTGAAGAAAGGCCGAATAGAGAAGAAAAGCGACGACGAGAAGGGTTTTTGTTTTGTGATTAATCGGCACTAACAATACCAAAAAATACCTGTAGACTCTTAAAATCAGAAATAAGGACCAAACATAACTACAATCCAGTACCTAAAATCACATATCATTACAGTACAGCCCTCGGCTCTCCGCTGTCGTCTGCTGAAATGCTGATCGAACCCGACCCAGCTCTCAATAAGCCCCATAACTCGAAAGCCCAATTGGCGCCAGCCCGGCACGGCTGAATACCTTGGAATTTCCCCTGACCTCTATTGTTGGGAAGGAAAAAACGTTTTCCATTTAGTGAGGCTCGACTTAGGTAACCAGTTCGTGGAGCCGGAGTCGGAGCAGGAGCGGGAGTGGGAGCGGGAGAGCGTCTGATTTAGAAGAATTCAATAATAAGAGCGTGAAAAAAGCGTCAATATTATATTAATATTTATACAAAAAAACTTAATTTACAATAAAACACAAAACCAATTAATTGAATTAAATAACCAAAAAACTTTAAAAGAATATTCAGTTACCAGATTCAATCAAGTATCTCCTATCTAAATCCCAGGTTGGCAACAAAAATTAATTCAAAATTTCTAAAAAGACTAATATTTGAATCCATATAAACAGCGGTGCATAATATATTTAATATTTATAGTTATTATAAAGCATTTTGTACTTGTATTGGAATTTGGAGGGGATACTAAGACCATCCACAATGTGGGCGGGGGAAATGTGGGAAAAGAGGGAAAAGTGGGAAAATTAGATGATTTGGTCACAGTGTGGTGGTGGGAAAAGTGGGTAATCAGATTAGTATTTTTTTTGTTAAAATCAATCTATAGTTGATTTTGTCACTTTATTTTTATATGATGATCATTAATATTACGTACTTAGTGATAATGAATTAATACGAACATTTCGATATAATTTTTTTTTTAAGTTGGATATTTTTTTCATCACTAATTAAGTATGACATCATCATTGACGAAATCACAATAATACGAGGGGACAAAAACACAGCTTTCCAAACAAGTATTTGCTAAAATCAGGAAAAAATAGAAGAAAGGATTGTCCTTTCCCATCCGCCACTTCCCCCCATCATTTGTCTCATCTGGTGGGTTTTCCCACCCACTAAACCCACAAAACCCATTTAATCCCCTATTCCCCCCCAGATTGTGGTCACATTTCCCCTTTTCCCCACAAAATCAACCCACGTTGTGGGTGGTCTAACGAGTAACTAGGATATAGATAAGGCCATAAGGGAAGAGATTTCCGTCGAAGAAAAAGGAAGATGAGGGATAAAAATAAATGTCGTCATTTTGGGATTCTCATCGTTCATTCTCTCTTTCTCTGACTGGAACCAAACTCGTCGAGAAACGACTTTCACCACCAAAACCGTCACCGTGAATTCCTCTCCAGTCGGCCGACCATCGACTCCACCCTTGAACTCCACTCCTCCATACCTCAGTATCCGCAGCCCCGACCATCAATAATCCATCGCTTAGCATGTACTTTTTTACTTCAGAAATTCCCAATCATGAACGGCGGACGGCGAGTCAAAGACCCGCGAGAAGTTTGACGATGGAGCTTGATTCGATTTGGAGTCCTCAATGGCATGGACCAATTTCAAGCCTTGTGTTTGCTAATACATCAGGAGGAACAGAGTGCTGCATGTCGACGGCGACAAATGAAAATGTGGGAGAGCAGTTGGGGAATCAAGCATCCTGCTTGGGCAGGCGAATTGACCAGTTCCATGGAAAATCGCGCTCCATCCAAAGAAATTCGCGCTCCATAAAAATTAAAATCTCGAATTTCACCCGACCTGAATAGAATCCGCGTTTTCACGCGCCAAAGCGGGAGCGTCGGAGCCGCAGTGACGAATTGTGTTACCTAAGGCTCGACTACTTTTTTTGAATAAGGAGGAGTTCATTGAATAAAGACTCCACAATGGTGGACAGATACATGGGCCAGGCCCAAGGAAGGAACAAACTACATAAGGACAAGAGCCCAACAGCCAAACCACTCCAAGTAAAGCAAAGACCAACTAGACTATGGTCTGAACAAGAAACCCTAATTCCAAAATCAATCTTCCATTGCATGAGCAGCCGTAGTGGTCATCCATGCCGCGATCCAAGATCCGCCTGCGATGAACCACCCAGCCTTCAATCAACTTAGCATGGCCACAACACCAGGGAAGATCGCCCAAAAACAGAATCATCAGCTGCAACACCAGAGAATGATAACCTGAAGAGACGAAACCACCCACAGAAGACGCACACAGTTGATCGAAGAAGACTCCAGGAAGAAACAGATCTTGAGCCCCTATGTTGAATGTTCCCCGCCTTCAAGTGACCCGAAGCTGAAACCAAGGGAGAGTCACAATAGGATTCCCATAAGCTTCTCCGAAACACCCAGCCATAGAGGTGAAACAAGGAGGAGGCTCAGATTCGAGAACCGAGAAAGCTAGTTGAGAGAATCCCAACCCCCTCTGTCTCAAGCAAAATCATCTCAATGTTCAGATCTGGCAGATCAAACATGAGGAGGAAAGGAAACATCCATCTTTAGAGAAGAGGAAGAGAGAAAAGCTCCAAGAAGGAAGCACCGAGATCAGAAAAACAAAGGAACGAAAGCTAAATACATAAAAAAAACTGGAAATAAAGAGGGGGAGGGCCACCGTCGGCACCTTGAAGGCACCGGCGGCAGCCCTATACACAAAACAGAGGACTGAAAAGTTACAGTTTAGAGAGAAGGCAGAGCTTTTGAATATTGAGAGAGAGAAACGAGAGAATCAAGACAAGTTTATATTTTTCGGCCGAGAAGAGAAATCCTTACCTAAGGCTCGACTACGATGCGCAGAACTCTGTCCCACTTCCCGTGGCGGACCCAAGAATTATACATAGGAGTGTCATCTTAAAAAATAAAATAAATAATAAATAATTCTTAAATAAGAAAATATCCAACTCGTACAAATTAAAAAATTCCATGATGTATTTTCATATTCTGAAAAAATTGTTAAATACACTTGGTGTTTACACCGCTAAACAAATTTGTCTCGATATATCCTACTAGACAATCATTCACGAATAACGCATATTTGACTTTTAAATTTGTTCTTGATGTAACTCAAATCTGAAAAAGATACTTTCAACACTTGCCATACAACCATAAAATCAATACAAATGAAGGGTAGCTTGTAATTAGATTAATTGTTAGGTTTTAAAATAATTAAAAATAGAGAATAGTACTCCAGGGTGGGACCCGGTGGTGGTGGATGATGATGATGCCCAGCTCCCTGGGGGTGTTGGTCGTTCCCCAGGATCTGGTTCTGAGGAGGTGGGTTCTGATCGCCTTCCATCTCGTACTCGTCCTCGGAGTCGCTGGTCAATTGGCCGTCTCGGCGCTCCACCGCAGCCAGTCTAGCTTGCTGTTGTCTCCGAAGTTGTTTGCAGGTGCGCTCAATCTCAGGATTCAACGGCAGCAAACCTCCCGATTGGCTACGGGTCATGCACTAGCTGCACACAATCAAGCAATGCAAACCCGTGAAGGCACAAGTGGGAAAAACAAAAACTCAATGCAAAAAATGAAAATGCTAAAGTAACAGAAATCACTTTTCTTCAACAACCTAGCCGTCCCCGGCAACGGCGCCAAAAACTTGACTCGCTGTTACTGTCACTCTAGAAATTGGCCAAGTGTAACCACTTCCTAAAGCGTAGTATAGCGGGTTTGGGTTTTAATGTCAACCCGGGTCCTAGATGTGATGACTACTCAGTGAATTCGTATTATCTAGCAATGAAACTTTAGTGAAGTTCTAAACTAACAAGCAAACAAAGCAACTAAACGGTTGTATTCAGGTTAAGAGAGGTCACCCGGATATGGTTCCCCCTAGACTGCAGTTAAGCCGGGTAATAATTACCAAGTTCAATTTCTATGATAGTTATACTGCGGAAGGTTCTCAAACAGTCTGAAGTCTCGACTAAAGGTCTTCAGACCCTCTCAATCTGAGTCTCTAGCTGGCGACTAACCTACACCGGAGTAAACAGATTGAAGCCCTAAGAACAAAACCTCCACTACCAGAGTAAAACAGGTACAGAATAGTGAATTGGCTCCTCGACTAAAGTCACCAATTCACTACCTTCGATTAAGGATACTCTATCAACCTAGGCAGATATTATCATTCTAGGTTAAAGCAGAAACAACAGGAATTTGATCAGGATTCATGCCATTCAATCATTCAAACCTCAATCGAATATAATCAATTCATAGAAACAGTACTTGGGTTCATACAATCAAACCTAACATACAGAACTAGGGTTCTCCATACCCAGATGAATGGGAGAACTACTCCATGGAGAGAGAAGCAAAAGCAGAATCAGACGCGGAAATCATACTGTGAAGATGGATTTCTGCTCCTGGACGTTGAATCGGCACTTCTCCAAGCTCAAACCAAGCTCCAATGGTGTTGAAGATCGATCTAAGGCACTTGGAGGCTCTTGTTCGTCGCTTTCTCTCTCTAGGAATCGCTCTGTCTCTCAAAAACTCGAATCCCCTTCTGTTTGGCTCGGAATCTGCTTAAAAACCAGAATTTCCCGACTCGCACGGCCAGGGTGCACGGCCGTGCACATCACCATTCTGGCCGTGCGACTCAAAACGCGGCGTACCATTAAGTCGAACCTCAGCCATCTCGCACGGCCAGGATTGCACCTTGCACGGCCGTGCGACTTCCATGGCTTGCCCGTGCGTGGCCTCGGCAAAAAGCGCACGGCCAACTTGCTCCATTGCACGGCCGTGCGACTCCCTGGTCTGGCCGTGCAGCCTCCTTGGAACCTCGCCATGCGTCCGACCTTCGTCCAATCGACCCCAGACTCGCTCCTAAGCCTTCATTCACGTCTTAGGACCTGAAATATCACAACCAAGCACAACCTAGCGTGAAATCGGCCTAAAACACGAGAATCAATACATCAAACGGTGTAAGAACAGGGGTGAAAACATGTGTAAATAACGGTCTATCACCTGTCGTTAGTTTAATGTCCTAAAGGTGTGACGTTCTTCCTGGTTAACGGAGTCTCTGGTTTGGTAATCAATCCGACCCAAGGGTTGTCATGGTCGGCGAACGAGAAATCACTCAAAGACGCCTTCTCTTCATTCGGCGAGGTGACAAAAGGTAATTTCTGACGATGCCCACTTGATCAAGTCCGTTTTTTTCCTTGTTAATCACATGTAGCTTTGTATGTTTCTTTGTAACTCATCCAATTGTTCGACGAATTGCCTCCATGAGCCTACTTCTGGCTGGGTGGTCTAGCGGGGTTTTTGTGTTAAGAGGTGCCTGCCCAATTTCCTCTGTACTCATGGATCATCTGCCATGATTGTCAGTGAGGATTGCATATGACAGAGACATCGGAAGGTCAACAGGGTTTGGGTTCGTGAGTTTCACTGAAGAAGATGAGGCCGCTAGTGCCAAGGACGCCATGGATGAGAAGGTGAGGAAAAAGAAACATTCAATCCTTTCTTTATTATCTTCTATAGATGTTTTACTGCTCTCTTCTTCCAATTTGTACATCGCCCTAATTAGTGAGAATATTTTTCTTGGGTTTTTCATTATTTGGCAGGCATTGCAAGGTCCACCATTGAGAATAAGCTTTGCTCTTGACAGAGTTCATGGTGGACCAGTTGTCGTCCCTCGTCTGTCTACTCATGTAACACCACATTATACTCGTTCCCGATGCTTCGGGAACGGATCAGGTCAGTAATTCTATGATTAGTAATCATGAGTAACCTGTCAACATCAGCATGACATCAGTATCTTCTCTCTCTGGGAAAGTCTATTATCTATTTCCCTTTAATCTTTAACGGACGATTTCTCTCTCGTTTTAAGTCGAAATTAAATATTTTTTGCACAGATAAATCAGATTAAATGTGCTCTTTAAAATGATATCCACTTTGATATATTTTTAGTACAAAAAAATTGAATAATTTTTTACCAGTCATTATCATATGGTTTGCTCATATTTAATACCATATGGTAAAAAAGCGTACCATGATGGTATGTAGGGATGACAATCAAACCCATGGCCGCGGGTACCCGACCGCCCCATACCCAGTCAACGCGGGGAATCCCCGCTTTGACCGGGTATGGGGCGGGTATGGGTAAAACCCGCAAAAGGTTTGATGGGTATGGGGCGGGTATGGTTTTAGCCTCCCCCGCCCCATACCCATACCCATACCCGCCCCACCAAGAGAATTTCTTCACATATCAAAAAATACGTGGATTAAATTGTAATCTATCATTGATGATGATGATAACTCGAGAAAATAAATAGTAGAAATGCAATTGAGTAACCACCTTAATCAAAACCTAATTCATTTCCCTCAATTCTCCTTCCACTCTTTCACTTCCCCCCTTGTCAATAAAATTATGTTAGTTAATTATTACTTAGTAAATATATCAAGAGTTAGAGCATAATAATTTAAAAAATATTATAGTCTATATTATGTATTAATGGATGTTTTAGGATCATATTCTTTGAATCGTATTTAGAAAATGACCGTGTTTTGTTGACTTCGTGATATAATAGGTTTGTTTATGGTTATAATTAAAACTTTTCTTGTAAGTTTTTGGTATAATAATGTTGGATGTACGGGGATGGGTATTACCCATGGGTACCCGAAACCCACGGATATGGGGATGGGTTTGCAAAACATTCCCCCGCATGGGTATGGGGCGGGTATGGGTTTGGGTATTTGAAGATGGGGATGGGGATGGTTTAGGCAAACCCGCCCCAAACCCGCCCCATTGCCATCCCTAATGGTATGAACATACCAATATGGTAAAAAGGTTGAATATATGATAGTAGGAGTATACTAACTGTCATTTACGACTTTCGTCATTGTTTACCACAAGTTACCACCCACATACCATAGTGGTAAAGTATGGTAATTTTTTATCCAGTATTTTTTTCACCAAAAAATTTATAGATCCAATAGATCATGATGAACTCGTTCCTTCTGAGCAAACGTTTTCAAAAACGACTTAAAAATGAAGAAGTTACCATATGGTATGTAGTTGGTAAAAAAATGTTTCTCAAAATGAAAATTGATCTCATTTTGTAGAGCACAACGAACTCGTTCCATCTGTGCAAAAAAAAATTGAAATCCGAGTTAGAACGAAGAAGATAAGAATCGATTAAGAAAACTAGGGAAAATAAAATGTCTTTAATTGACAACCCTTAGATCTAAATTTTCTCGACCCACTTAGATCTAAATGTCCATATTTAGTTACTCATAGGTCAGTAACCATTGGTTACTGGCCCTATCCTAAGCCCGATGCTTCTGGGGAAAAAAATATGCGCCATATCTTATGTGGGTTAATTGCATAGTTGGTCACTAGATTTACTAACAAAATCCATGTTTGGTCACTACAAATATTTAATTCCATTCGTGGTCACTAAAATTAATTCAATAGTTCAAGTTTGATCACTCTCCGTTAGTCTCCGTTAACTTTTGCTGATGTGGCAGTCAACATTCATAGTTGACCGTTAAATAAGTGAAGTGGCTATTAAAAAATATAAACAAAAATTAATCTTTTTAATTTTCCACATAATTTCCAACTATTAAAAAAACTTATCATCACCACCGCCCGCGGACTTCTCCCACAATGAAATCAAATCGATAGGATGCAAGTAGAGTCATTGCCAACCTAAATTCAGAAGATTTCAGAAATCAGACCACCACCATTATCGCATCTCGCGCCGCCTCCGCCGTGAAGCGTTGTACCGATCTCCACCACCACCACACCCCAACAGCGCTACTCTCCAAGCAAGTGGTCACCGACTCCTCCAAACTCATCGACGACGTACCAGATCGCCTGAAGTCTGGTCTGTACAGTGGAACCGCCTTAGGAGAGAGGCAGTGGCGGATTCATGGAGCTTTGGGGGTGTCCCGGGACACCCCTAAAATTTGAGAATACGATTATTCAATTCACGATAGTAGTTTACATATCGATAAAAAAATATTTAAATGGTAGCCGGACACCAATAAAATTTGCAAAAATGATTATCCAACTCTAAGTAGTAGTTTGCGTATGAGTAAATAAAAATATTTAAATGTTAGTCTAAGTGATTTGAACTTGGGCCGTTGCTACTATAAGTGGACATATTTTTCATTAGACTACAAATTATTTGTTTTATATTTTAAATCAAAATATAATAGTAAAAAGCTATTTCTTATCTCCCATTATTTTCAATAGCTAACAATTAAATCCAATCAAGGACTCCTCTAGTCCCCTTGTTCCAGTAGGATTTATCGAGAGTTGTTAGACAACGATTGTATTTTACAATTTTGTCAAAATACGAACACTTCATGTACTTTGTTGTATTTCGTAAAAATAAGATATTTTTTATTTAATAATTATTTAATAATTAATTTAATTTAATTTTTAAGAAATGACATCCTATGTAAAATTTCTGGATCCGCCACTAGAGAGAGGGTGGTGGCAACCGGTGAACAGGATCATTCATTGGCAGCCACTTGATTCGTTTGAGCCGCCACTACTTCCCCCACCCGCTTCCGCTTCGGGCGAGACCTTGGATCTAGAACTGGAGAACCTACAATGAGGATTCGGACTTGGTTCGTTGCCGTCGATCAGCTTCCACATATTGCTACAACAGGGTTTCTTCCTTCACTACCGTCGACGGATTTCTCCCACGGATTTCTCCCACGAGTTTTCCGACGGACTTCTCCCACAGTGAATGGTGTTTATTATAATTTTTTAATAGTTGGAAATGATATAGAAATTTTTAAAATTTTATTTTATTTTTGTAATATTTTTTAATTGCTACGTCACACACTTAATAGTTAATATGAAAATTTGACTGCCACATCAGCAAAAGTTAACGGAGACTAACGGAGAGTGGCCAAATTTAAACTATTGAACTAATCTTAGTGACCACAAATTAAATTAAATATTTGTAGTAACCAAACGTGAGCGTTTTTAGTAAACCTAGTGACCAACCTTGCAATTAACCCTATCTTATGTTGTGAAAATTAGGGATGGCAACAGGCCGGGTCGGGGGCGGATAATGCATATCCGTTACCCTACCCAAAGTAGTTCGGGTTTTACCCATACCTATACCCACATGAGAAACGTGTAGAAAATCAAAACCATGTCCATACCCGTTCGAGTTTCGAGTATCCACGACTATCCATGGGTAATAATTTTTCTTTATAACTCCAACAAATATGTTAACATTAACACGTATGCTCACATTACGTAAGATGAAAAGTACGAAAATAATTCACTAGATTGAAGAAAATTAATTAAAACAACACAATTTCATGAAAATATTAAATTTATATGCTAAATATAAAATATGTTAGAGATAAATAATGATTATTTCTAAACAAAATACATATGAATGTGTATAATCGGGCGGGTTCGGGTTGGATAGTGAGAAAACCATGTCAACCCATTACCCGTAATATTCGGGTTCGGATTTTACCCGTACCCACTAAAAGTCCTTCGCATTCGGGTTTTACCCTACCGGATTAGGGTGAATTCGGGCGGATGTCCACGATTTCGGATATTTTTGCCATCCCTTGTGAAAATGTGTTAACCTGAATTCAAGGTAGACGCTCGTTTGATTGCTTATGGCCTATTTCCATCATAGAACTTTGAAGCTGTGAAGCACCTTCAGGAACATGGAGCGAGCCAACTCAAACAGTGTGGTTCTGGTTCCCATCTCAGATCTGTGCGCCACAGAATCAGTAATATCACTTAATGAAGGCGTCATTGTGAAATAAAAGTTCGCCAAAGATACCTCCTGCTTAATTGGTTAGCCAGATATATGTTGAAATTCCCAAGCACATGGTTGAGTTCAACAACCAATCCTCGAGGACTGAACTCAAGAACAATAGTCACCTTACCACAAAAAGATGCATCACATTATCAAATTTACGAACACCGTCACGCACTAACATCTCCAGATTGATAACAAGGATGCTTATGATCCAAGGTGAAAACTAGGGAACAAAATAGATCATCAGCAAAAAACATAAAAAGCAACATTCATTCATCCATCCTGCAGAACAAGAATCCCCATGGTCTCCAAATACCGACTGGCATTGCATTACATAGTTCTACTGTCGGCTATCAAAACCATATAACTAAAACTATTCTTCACTGGAACAACATTTTCAAAACTTAAAAAGCAAAACACAGACAAAACCGCAGCAGGCTCATCCATCTGTTCACTTCTTCTTCTCGCCTGCTCCTCCGGACCTATAAGCAAGAGAGAAGATAACTGAAATCAATATCCGCCTTTCCAGTATGAAAGCCACTATCAACAGTCCCTAGGTAAATACAAGTACTAGCCATGACTCGACATCAATACAGATAGAATTAGAGTAGAAGAACAACTGACCAAACTTCAGAACTTATGACAATCAATAATACAATTCTAATGCCTGTTAAAATCTAAGAGCTAGCTATAAACAAATTAGGTGAGTACAATAGAATATATGCTACATTCCAGTCCGTAAACAAGAACCATAAACTAACTAGTATTGCTCTTATGACAATCAATATATACCGCAATGCCAAAAACAAAAACAGGGTATTAGTTCATCAAGTTAATTTTTTTTATGAAAGGAATGGCAGCAAAGGATGGTCATTCTTCTCTTCAAACAAAACCCTAACTAGCTAGCTAAAAACCTACACAGACGATAGGACAGAAAAATCAGACCGAGGGACAATTAGGCAAAAGACATAATAGGGCTAACCTCATCTTGCGGAGTGCGGTGGACATCTCCTCTCTCTTCTTCTTGGCCCTCTTGTGGGTTCCGAGCTTTCTCTTGGCCAGCTTCAACGCTCTCTTGTCCTTGCCGACCTTCAAAAGTTCAGTGATCCTCTTCTCGTAAGGAGCAAATCCAGCGACCTCCCTGATAAGGTTCCTCACCAAATGAACCCTCTTGCTGGTTTTCTATTTCCAAACATAATCGAACAATGCAGAAAGACGAAAAATCATCAGGATCCATTGGAAAATGGAAAACTGCACAGCGATGGAAATCCAGAACTGAAACACACAGATGTGTAGGAGAATAAAGGGCTACGTACCCCTTTTCTGTCGGATGGACGGGGCGGCAAATCGCGCTTGGTAACGATGTGGCCCTTGTTCAGACCGACGGCCAATCCACTCTTCGCAGCGGGAGCCATTTCCTACCGGAGAAAGAAAATAACACAGCCTGCAGAGTCAGGATCCGGAGAACAAACTGAACGATCAAGCGACAGGGGAGGAGGATTAGGGTTTTACCTTCAATCTTCTTCTTGCGGCTGCCGAAGGAAGGAAAACAATGAAGTCTCTGCTTTGCCAAACCCTAGTCTGATTTGTTATACTACAGGGTGGGCAAAGATGGAGACCCGGAGGGAGAAGGGCCGCGTTTTGGGCCATGGATTCGGGCTAGCATCTGTTTGAGCCGGCCTGCTGTCTGTAACCAAGTCGGTTAACTGGGCCCTTTCTATTCAGGCTCAAACAAACAATTCTTGGCCTTGGACTTTTCTGCCCTCTACTATGGCGATGTAACAAACGTGCCCCTTTATTATTATTTTTTTTGCACAAAGATGCTCTTGTACTATTACGTCGTAACGAAATTACCCTTCTGTTCAAAATTTCGTTTTCTCACCGTTAACTGGCGTCGGAAATGACCTAACTACCCCTGACTAATTAAGAAATTCTGTTTTAATTAAAAAGTGATTACAAATGAATTAAAAAACTAAAAGAAATCTCGTTTGAATTAGAAAGGGATTACGCCGGTTAATCCCTTCATCTTCTCCCTTTACTGTAGAGCAACCCGCGCTCGACAACATCGCCGGCAACGACGCCATCTTCACTGGCGTCCTCCATCATCCTTTAGCGGCGTACTCCAACGGCCCGAAATCCATTATTTGAAGTTCAAATAGCAATATCGGTTGGGTTGGACGAAGAAGCAGTATTGGGAAGCAGTATTGGTGGATTCGGCGAAGAACAAATACCACCACTCCCGTTTGTCTATCAGTTCCCAAGCTTTCTATGGTTATTATATCCCCCACAACTTGAGGTATGGTTGAACCCAAAATCCTATATTTTAATCCCTAATTAAGTTGAATAAGACAAAAGTTGAAATTAAGTAATAGTTCTTTCAGGGACACGTATATGGGATATGGATGGTGGAATCAACAATGAATTTGGTGGATGCAATGGATTCATGCATGATTCTGTTGCAGCTAACAATAGGGAAAAGGGTTCCATCGATTGATAATGTACACAGTACTGAACAGGTGTGCCTTTTCAGTTGTGATTCATGGTTGGTGCTAAATAAAAAAATATGGTTGTAACAATGGTTTCTTTTATGTTAATGTTCTTTCTTGTTTCCAATCGTGCAGGTGCAATTTAATGGCAACATTAGAAATGAGGAAGAAGTCGATCTTGATGAAGAAGAGAAGGGAGATTCCGACAACGAGTTTGAGTTGAACCCAGATTAGGTCTCGGATGAGGATATTGCAGATAGGGAAGAGATATTATCGAAGGTGAAAAGGGCAAAAGAGAAGATGTATAGAGGAATTCCTGTTACTTATCATTCCGATGATGAGGTTGATAGAAGACTTGATCAAGTAGATGAGCAAGAGGGTTTTAGCTCTAGTGATGATGGGATTTATGATGGAAACGATGAGGAGGATGAAGTTGATGATCATGCAATACGCAGAAGAAGCCGTTTTCCACTATTTGATCTAAATTTGGAAACACCATTCTTTGAGCTTGGCATGATTTTCACTAGCATGACTCGGGCAAAGGAGGTTGTTCGAAAGTATGCTTTGGCTGCCATAAAAGGTGTGTTGGTGAAGAAAAGTGATCCATCGAGGCTAAGGGTGATTTGTAGGTACAAGGGATGCCCTTTTACATTGTTCGTTTCATGGTGTAAACGGGCTGAAGCATTTCGCATCAAAACACTGAATGTGCATAGATGCGGACTTCATTTCAAGAACAAATAATGCAGTCCAGTTGTGATTGCAAAGAAGTATCATAGGAGGATAAGAGCACATCCACAGTGGAAGCTCAAGGACATGAGAGAGACAATTAAAGAAGAGATGGGATATGATGTGCATAGGATGACATGTTCACGTGCAAAGAAGATAGTGATGCACTTGACTCGAGGATGCTATAATGATGAGTACGCACTACTGTGGACTTATGCGGAAGAATTGAAGAGAGCTAACTCGGACACAACTGTCCGTATCATGGTGAACCAAGACAATCCGGAGGGGCTGCCCAAGTTTCAGCGTATGTATATCTGTTTCGGTGCCATGGAAAAAGGTTTTAAAGCTGGATGCAGGAAGATTGTCGCTTTGGATGGTTGCTTTCTTAAGGGTTTGTGCAAAGGAGAGCTACTTGCTGCAGTTGGGAGGGATGCAAATAATCAAATGTACCCCATTGCATGGGCAGTGGTTGAAGTTGAGTCTAGAAGTTCATGGGACTGGTTTCTCAAGGAGTTGAGGGATGATTTAGACATTGATGAAGATGCTGGTTGGTCCTTCAGTTCAGACCAAATGAAGGCCAAATGGTGATATTTTTATTGCTAACAGTTGGTTTTGTTAGTAAAGTGTCCACAACTTATTAACACCAAATTGCATGTTTATAAGGACTAGTACCTGCAATAGTCTAACTCTTCCCACACACCAAATTGCATGTTTATAAGGACTAGTACCTGCTATAATTTTTTTTTTAAGTTGGACATTTTTTTCATCACTAATTAAGTATGACATCATCATTGACGAAATCACAATAATACGAGGGGACAAAAACACATCTTTCCAAACAAGTATTTGCTAAAATCAGGAAAAAATAGAAGAAAGGATGGTCCTTTCCCATCCGCCACTTCCCCCCATCATTTGTCTCATCTGGTGGGTTTTCCCACCCACTAAACCCACAAAACCCATTTAATCCCCTATTCCCCCCACATTGTGGTCACATTTCCCCTTTTTCCCACAAAATCAACCCACGTTGGGGGTGGTCTAACGAGTAACTAGGATATAGATAAGGCCATAAGGGAAGAGATTTCCGTCGAAGAAAAAGGAAGATGAGGGATAAAAATAAATGTCGTCATTTTGGGATTCTCATCGTTCATTCTCTCTTTCTCTGACTGGAACCAAACTCGTCGAGAAACGACTTTCACCACCAAAACCGTCACCGTGAATTCCTCTCCAGTCGGCCGACCATCGACTCCACCCTTGAACTCCACTCCTCCATACCTCAGTATCCGCAGCCCCGACCACCAATAATCCATCGCTTAGCATGTACTTTTTTACTTCAGAAATTCCCAATCATGAACGGCGGACGGCGAGGCAAAGACCTGCGAGAAGTTTGACGATGGAGCTTGATTTGATTTGGAGTCCTCAATGGCATGGACCAATTTCAAGCCTTGTGTTTGCTAATACATCAGGAGGAACAGAGTGCTGCATGTCGACGGCGACAAATGAAAATGTGGGAGAGCAGTTGGGGAATCAAGCATCCTGCTTGGGCAGGCGAATTGACCAGTTCCATGGAAAATCGCGCTCCATCCAAAGAAATTCGCGCTCCATAAAAATTAAAATCTCGAATTTCACCCGACCTGAATAGAATCCGCGTTTTCACGCGCCAAAGCGGGAGCGTCGGAGCCGCAGTGACGAATTGTGTTACCTAAGGCTCGACTACTTTTTTTTAATAAGGAGGAGTTCATTGAATAAAGACTCCACAATGGTGGACAGATACATGGGCCAGGCCCAAGGAAGGAACAAACTACATAAGGACAAGAGCCCAACAGCCAAACCACTCCAAGTAAAGCAAAGACCAACTAGACTATGGTCTGAACAAGAAACCCTAATTCCAAAATCAATCTTCCATTGCATGAGCAGCCGTAGTGGTCATCCATGCCGCGATCCAAGATCCGCCTGCGATGAACCACCCAGC